GGCCAGCGGAGACCTGCTCCGAGTAATCTCAGACACCAACAGCAGCTTTAAAACCTACAGCTTTTTTAAAAACACCTTGGCAGCAATAGTAAATAGACGAGTCCTGGTGCACTGTGGTGACACCAAAGTAAACAGAAGTTTTATCGTAATGGAAACGCATCTGCTGTTTCACTCGACTACTTGTTTGAATGTCAAAATACAAGTAAGAACTCTCTTCCTTCCCCCACCCCTGTTCTCCTGTCTGTATTTCTTTAGCAGCTGGAGATGGAGAAAAAGATGCGCTGCCCCATTGCAACTTGCAGGTTTACACGTACACCTGTGATGTGGGCAAAAGAGAAAATGTCTACTCCACGGCTGAGAGGGTCCGCAAGGAGGTTGGCGAGGTGTCTGTCCTGGTGAACAATGCTGGTGTGGTCTCCGGGCACCACCTTTTGGAGTGTCCTGATGAGCTTATTGAAAGGACCATGATGGTCAACTGTCACGCACACTTCTGGGTAACTATGAACTCCTTTCTGCCACCCTTTTTGTCAGTTAATTTTGGGAAATTAACTGCTGTTGCTTAACTCCTGTCTCCTTGAGTTTTGCACTTTCTCCCTTTCATTTGCAAGCTCACCGTTTTGTGGGTTTCCTAAATTACTGTTCTGTTTAACAGGAATGGTGGGGATTAAAATTATTAACAGACAGTTTAAAATCAACTATATCCTCCTAGAATTCAGAGTCTTGTGCCCTTTTCCGTAGCCCTGGATGTGAAGTCCTTTGCAAGCATAACCTCTCAGTCTACTTAAGGTTACTATTGTTAATGAATGACTTCTCAGCCTTTCTCCTGTAGTCTTCTGCCAGCATGTTAGCAGCTTTAAGATCCTGTTCTAATGATGGTTACAATAGCAAACTTGCACACTTCTGGAAAAAATACTTAAATCCCTGCTGGAAATGTTTGAATTGTCTTGGAGGCAAATTCCTCCTTTTGAAGGCTGGGAGGAAAGGCAAAAAAGATTTCTCAAGAAATCAAGCCAAGAACACTTTTTTGGGAATCCTGTGTATTTGTCCTCCTAGCTTTCTCTGGGGGGCTGCTAGTACAGCTAAGAAAATCTTTAATATGTTTCTGGGGTGGTATTGTCTCTATAACTAGCAGATGCTAATCAAGGAGAACAAGCTATGTGATCTTACTCTTTGTGTCTATTCTTGTTTTCCTGACTGGTTTATTTTTAAACTCATGGAAGCGTGGAGTTACATAAACTGGAGTGTTGAAGGAGGGCATGATGCAGGCTTGGGTTAGCATTAGCTGTCAGACTGAGGCCATTGTTAGTATTAAAACTGTTCTTTGGTCCTTCAAATAAGGTTATGAAATCCACTTGCATAACAATCAAAGGATTAAGCAATCTGAAATATACTTCAACTTAAGCCTTCTTTGGCTGGTCTTACCTTTTCATAATAAAATTTTGTAAAATGCCTCATCTTCAAAACTTAGAAGGTCCTACTAAACTTTTTACACATGGAAGTGAAATGCTGTTTCATAACCCTAAAGGAGCCCCTTCAAATCTGTGCCGTGAAACACTTGATGGCAGAGCAGTCTTTTTCCAGTGTATTGTAAAGCTTGCAGGGAGAGTGCTTAAACTTCAGTGCACACAAGGTAGTGTGTTTAGAAACTCTTTTAAACTCTGGAAGTATATTTTAAGGCAATTTGAAAATTTCTGAGAAAGCTCATATGACTTCTTGCAACCAAGAGCTATGTGTGTTCCCCTTCATAAAAGTTAAATTGATGCTTAAGCAGAGATGTGCACTAGTTTAAATGACTGTTATTGATGTGGTTTAAATGCTGAATTGACGGAGTTTCCAAGAACTCTAAATTATGACATCACCATGAATTAAAATATGGGAGGATCCTAAATTCTCCAGCTGTTCTTCCTTCAGGCCTAAGTCATGCACTTATTTATAACATTGTTTTGGAGACCTTTTTAAAGCACCCTCTGTGTGTTCTGAGTCTCTTACAGCAATAGAAAACTAAACTTAGCAAGTATTGCTATGACTGGGTTTCCATAACAGTTTCATTCATCTCAAAATGTTACAGTGTGAAGTAACTTTAAAATGAAAAAAAAAAAAAACACTACAATAAGGTATCGTTGGATCTGAACTGTGGAACTTGAGATCTTGGCTTAAGCTTGTAAGGAGCAGTCAACACCCTTTAGTTTTAATTGAGGATCTGTTCATATGTACACTTCCTGCAGATCCTGTGTCTTGCTTTGCTTTTCCTTTTATTTTTTTGTTGTTGGCAAGGCTTTGTTCCTTGTCTTCCCCTTCATGAGCCCAGAAAAGGTTGGCTTGACCAACAGTGGGTGGACTTCTATTAAAAGTAATAGTACTTAATTCATAAGATATCATCTGAATCAGCTGATTTGAAGCCAACTTTTTTGATGCAAGTCAATGCTGACTTAAATAGAACAATGTGTCTAGATGTGTGAAGTCTTGTACAGCTAGTCTTTTCCACGTCAGCTAAACTGGTGGTCCAAAAGCAAAGCTAATACTCTGGAGCATTATGTAGGCTTTTAACTATTCTTGGAGGGTGTTTTGTCCAAAAAGCTGTTAAATGGGTTTTATGAAGACATGGGTCTTCCATGTCATATAGCTTCAGTAGTTAAGTGTCTGTACTTTCTGAGTTGTTGTTTTTTGGTTGGTTTGTTTGTAATGTGTGATGGGGGGGAAGTTCTTACTCATTCCTTGATCATTACCCAAGTTTCAATGTGCTTCTATATAAAAACCTAAAATGCAGCTCTAGTACTGTCCCCTTGAAACACCTGAAATGGGACTGACTGCCCACTCTCTGTGCGGAATGCAGGTGGTCTGAGATGGCTTTACATCAGCAGCTACAATCTGAAGACTGCCCAACTTCTGTGGTGGGCAGTGACATGAAAGTCTGTCTGCTGCTGTGACCCCAATGGGCTGTGCACCATATCGCAAACTGGCAGTCAGGAGAGCCTTAGCAGCGTGCCACAGCCTAAACAGATGCTTTCCATTTTGCTGACATTCATGATTTGTATAATCCTTCCTATGAGTGTTCTATATAAACATGTCACCACTGCATCATGTAGCAATTTCCACAGCATAAAATCCACTGCAGTATTAAAAACCTGTTATTCCATGCTGTGATAACTTGAATGCTTCTGATATTGAAAACATAGGGACAAAATCCATTCCTGGTTTGAAACAAGCCAGCTCTGGTTTACTATAATTCACAGATGCATAAAAATGTAGCAGGAGTGTAACGCTATCTTTCCTGCCAGTAATAACTTACTTGGCTGCACTTGTCAATTACTGGAACTGAACTTCTGCAGACTACAAAATTTTCTCCCTGTGATATGTCAGGATTCAGATTTGAAAATCACAGTATAAGATAAAGCTCTTGCTTAATCAGTTTTAAGCAAATATAGGAATAACAGTTTTTCTTTCTTGGGGTTTTACAATAAAGCTTAAGTGAAGTATCAAAATACTGTGTTTTAGATTGTGGAACTGTATTTAATAAAAACTGCTGTACAGACTCTTATTTCAGGACAACTTGAGATTCTTGTACCTACTCTAACATTTTTTTTTTTTCTGGAAGAATAATGCTATTGCTGGGTGAGTAGGTATTAATATTGTACATCAGCATAGTACTTGAGAAATCCTTATAGATTTGGTCATTGAATGGGACTTATGGAGGGGCACAGGCAAGGCAATGATAAGGTTCTGAGAAGTTCTGTGACACGAAGGTGCTTCTGTACAGCAGATCTTCAGTATTCAGCTCAGAGAACAGTGATCGGCATTTTCCTGTTATGTGGATACTCCAAAACTTAAAGCTCTTATCCTAGAGGAGTTCTCTTCAACTTACCAAAAGGGGGAAGCAAAAGCATTCAGCTCCAGCCCTGTCATATTTATTAAAAAAAAAAAAAAAATCCATGTAGTGAGAAACTAGGGCCCAGAGCTTGAAGACTTGTATACTGCTGTATTAGCTGGAGTAGTTGTGTTCACTCACTTACAAACTACCTGATTTTTGAAGTTATGCAGGTATATTTGTCTTTGTAAGAGCTGAACAAATCTTCTAGGTGGCCTGACATTGACGTAGGAAGAGATAAATACTATTCAAGTGATTAGGGCATTCATAAATAGTCTAAAACTTAAATGTACCTCAGAAAGAAAGCTAATGCAGAGTTACTAAATCAAAGACCTATTTTTGCAGCTGCTGTAGTTGTCAGTCTCATTAGACTGACAGAATTGCTGAAGCCTTGGAAAATAACACTGGCTTTTAGTTATCTATAATGTATCAATAGTTACATATTGTTGTTCTGGTTTCTTCGTGCTCCATGGTGTTTAATAAAGCTCACTTATGCCTATAGTTTGTTTATTTTAAATATGGAAGTAGTGTACTTAGTGTGCACACTGAATCTTCTACAGAAGAAAAGATAGCTTATGTTATTTGAAAATATACCATGCTGAGTCTTGTGGCCTGTTGGCATAGTGGTTTGATTTTTTTTGTCTTCATCTCTAGGATCTAGTATTTATGAGCAAATATAGACACAATATTCCACTGACAGGCCAGCTAGCTATGTTTAGTATTTTGGATGAGTGGATTTTTTTTTTTTTAATTTCATGATAATATATCCCAAGATGCATTAGCTTACTTGCAAAGTTTAATCTACAAGTTCTTGACTTTTTTTCTTTGAAAAATTAGTTGGATCAAGTTCAAGCAAAACATGTGCATGTGATCCAAAAAGTGTCATCAAAACTAACTCTTCCCTTGCAAAATGATTCCGAATACATGCCTCTAGTAAATTACCCTGGACAGCACATGTGTTTCATATACTGTGGTAGCATGCTGGGTAGTGAACATGAAGGAAAAAGCAGTCATACTCTTAGCTATGGAAATAGTCATATTAGTTGTGCTTAAAACTTAAGTGCTTTGGTACAGTTCTGCAGTTCATATGTTCATGGGTTCATTTCTCAAGAAAATAGAGGGAATCTATCAATTGAGAAAATACTATCTTCCAGATGCATGCTCTAAAAAACTGCACATCTCCATTTTATAAAGAAATGCACTTAACACAAGTTTTAGAAGACAAATGGGTGGATAAATATTTCTGGAGCTTGAGTGGGCACAAGACTACTGGCTTGGAGCTTTCCTCAGAGATTTATTTTATGGTTTACCATAAGCTTGTCTAGCATCGTGTCAAGCACAGTTGTCACCAGCATGCAATCCTTAGAGTTTCAGAGTAGACAGGGGTGAGGATAAAAATTACTCTTCAGTGTCCTCATCAGAAGAGTCAGCAAGCATAATTAGGCAAATTGTGATGGGCTGGTAGGTGGGTCTGTCTTATGTAAAATGCCCCTTCATATGCCTTGTGTAGGAATCATGAATTCAGGCATGTATAATTGGGATTCCAAAGTTCCACAAGTTACTCAACTCTAGTCACTGAGGTCTATTAAGGATGTTCAGTCACGGTTCTCCATCATCTACTCTATCTTG